AGAGCAAGTCAAGTTGTTTTGGATGCTGCAAAAGCATCTGTGGATGGTGGTTTTAAGGCTGTATATATTTAATCGCTCACTTACAAAATAAATGAGGATTTTTGTTAAGAAATGATAGCTACTGTTTGAAATAATGAGTAATACATAGACATATAAATATCAATTGATGTGCTTCAACAAGTTCCTTATAACATATCATCGATCAATTCCAATTTTACAACAAGTAAAGGCTCTAGTGCTCATGTTCCGACCTTAAAAGAACACGCCAACACCCCAAATCTAGATTTGCGATTTACAATGCAAAAAGAAAAACATTTGTCCTCAATATATCTATTTATTTATTTTGTAACCCATTTCCACCTCTGTGCATCACCCTACGTGCATTAATGAATGTAGGTTTGATTAGCTGTCCTAGTCCCAAAGATTGTCCCCTTGACAACAATAGCACAACTTCAGACATGGTTGGTCTTAAGGAAGCTGGTGACTGAGTGCACATGAGAGCAATCTCTATGGTCTTCATCACATTTGCTTCATTGTATTCTTCTTTACCTAATGCTTCATCAATCAACTCTTTGTGCATGCGTTTCTCATACAACTGCCATGCCTATCGACCAAAAGAGAATTGTCACACATTTGCAATAATTTATGTGTCATGAAAAAGAAGAAAAAAAAATGAGGTTAATTGTATGTTACATGTTCAAGGAGGTGAGCTGTGTCAGGTCCACTGAAGTTTTGATCAGTACATATTCGACCACTAATGATTTCAAGGGCCACGATACCGAAGCTATATGTGTCAACCTTCTCTGATAATTGTCCACTGGTTGCATATTCTGGTGCCATGTATCCTCTATATTGATTACGTCATAAAACATAGTCATTTGAAAAGTAAGGAAGTTGAATAAACTGGAAATAAATACATAAACAATATAAAGAAACATACAGGGTGCCAACAAGCTTTGTGCTAATATGGGTTTGATCCTCCGCTTGAAATCTTGCCAACCCAAAATCTGCAATTTTGGGTTGAAAATCCTCATCGAGGAGAATGTTATTTGACTTTATATCTCTGTGAATTATTTTGACATGGCATTCATTGTGAAGATGGGAAAGACCCCTAGCAATGCCAAAGATAATGTCAAATCGTTTTTCCCAATTCAGAGTGCCTTTTTTGTCACCTGTACATGATGAATGAAATTATTAACTACACATTTGGTCAAAATTAACTTTCTTTTGGGTGGTTATATCTTATAAACAATACATGTGCGAAACTAACTTACCCCATAAGAAGTTGTCAAGGCTTCCGTGTGGCATGTATTCTAGGACAAGAAGTAGCTCAGGTCCTTCACTACACCATCCTAGTTGTCGTACAAGATTCCGATGTTGAATATTACTTATAAGTTTCACTTCATTGTCAAATTCTAATTTTGCGCTACCATAACCAACATGAAGTTTCTTCACTGCCACTACCGTTTCATCATCTATGATTGCCTGTTATTACTAAGTAAAGTCCTAAAGCAATTCCATAAAATAGTAATAAAGTTATAAGAGCACGTATTAATTAAATGTTGTGCAATCCTTTACCAGTTCATGAATAAAACAGGAGTTTTAATTCACTTCGGAAACTTTCTCTTGATAAAGTTTAATTTGTGCTAGACATTTATATTTAGTTGTTCCAAAATTCGAAAGCCTTTATTTAGACTACGGACAGATAGTTAGACAACAATTTAAATTGTTAATTACCTTGAATACTTCACCAAAACCTCCTTTCCCTATTCTATACTCATCACCAAAATTGTGTGTTGCTAATCGCAAATCTTGGTAACTGTAACCTTTTTCCCCTTGTAGTCCAGGTTCCTCTACAAGTATCACAAGTTGCAAAATTTAAGCGATTAATAGTTGTAATCTAAGACGTATATGTTGAGATGCAACATACTATAATTTTGAAAATCTGTTAAATGAACAGAAAATTTTAAGAACTTACAAAACTGTAGGTATGAATTTAATAAGGGCTATCTACAATGCTTAACCATAAAGATGTGGACAAAACTTTGGGATAATTTTTTTTTTGAAGAACAAAATCATCAACCTTGGTTATATATTCTTATTATATTTGAGTTACCCCTCACAAAGCCCATATAGGTATACCTGATGTATCTCATGTGCTTCGTATAAAAATATTTCTTAATTGAACCTTTATTCAACATCAAAGGTGTAATATCTATGGTTACCTTGTTCAACATTCTTTGACTTCTTCCTCTGTCGATACCATAACCACAAAACAAGTATAAGCAAAAAGAGACCCACACCACTACATACTCCAGCTATCATGCCAGACTTGCTTGAACTTCCTAGTACAAAGAACATAGCAAATGTATAATAATGTATTCAAACATATTCAATAACTGCAACTGAAAATTATAGCTAAATTATTGATGTATAAGAAACTTCACCTGTACTTAGGAAAGATAAGATGTTTGTTGTCTGGTTGCTTCGAAAGAATGGAGTCTCAGAATATCTCATAAAGCATAAAAAGTCAATTGCCCTTCCTTCCGTATTGGGGAGACAACCATGTAAATTGTCATATGCTGTATTCAAGCAACTTTGACAAATGGCTTGGCTTACGTTTCTGACACACTGTGCAATTGCATACACTGTCGTGTTTCCGGTTGAGACTTGCCTTGTGGATGCTACATAGAAAGTAGATGTTCTTGGAGTAGCGACTTGAATATCAGATAACAATGCCTCTACCATTTGGTTGAAAGTAGTTATCGGCTGAGATATTGACTCCATGCCGCATATTCTAGCTGGAGTGGCATTATCATCCAATATAACATTACCGTCATTAAAGTTTGCACCATAATTCTCGTACCTTTCACAAAAGAGGTACACTTTAGTATGCACACATAGATACATGTGTTGGCGATTTAAGTGTCATTATATGTCATATTGGATAATTGAAATTTCCAAATTGGACTAAGACTATGAACGTGTACAAATCACATGGTGCGGAGTGCACACTTGTATAAGAGTGTGTTTGATATAGGTTCTAATTGAGTCCAAAGGTAGATTGTGTCCAAAAAATGCAATTTAGCATGTTTGATATGATTTTTAAACTCATGGACTTGATCCAAGGTGTGGACACGGTCGAACATGTGCAGCTAATTCGGTCCCCACTCTAACAATGCAAGACAAGGACAAAAATTTACAAAAAAAACTTGATTTCCCGTTTTGCCGTATTCTTCTATATATGCATCCACAGAAAGAAACACAATCGAAGCAATCTCCCCTGCTTCCCTGCTATCGACGACCATCCTTGACTCCATCGTCTTCCTATGAAAACACAACCAAAGACCAACCTTCTTCCGACCAACCTTCTTCCGACCAGGTGCGTTTATGAGTTTTCTGTTCCTGATATTTCCATTGTTGCTGAGATTTTTTATTTGCTCTGATTTTTTGTTGTTGTTTATGTGGTGTGATTTCTTTTGTTGTTGTTGCTATGATTTTTTTGTTGTTTGTTGATGTGCTCTTATTTTTTTGTTGTTGATGTAATGTGATTTTTTTACACGAATGTATGGTCCAAATTTTATGTTAAATGAGTAAAAATGAGTTAAATTATAGGTGCCTTGTTAAATTAGTTATAAGTTGTTGTGTGTATGTGTATATGTATGTGTATATTTGTGTGTATATTGGTGCGTATATTTATGTCTATGAGTGTATATTTGTGTGTATGTGTGTATATTGGTTTAACCCTTATGTGTAAGTATGTTTGTTTCTTAATCTTGCTCTAAAATGTAACATTTTTATCATTCATTTATTCGTTAGACATGACAGAAAAGAGAGATAGAGCTAGTTGGTCTTCGGATATTGTGAACAAAAGTTTTCTTAAAGCATGTATACAAGAGTTAAAAAGTAACGGTCGGGAGGGTAGTGGTCTCAAAGGAACCTCATGGAATGTAATAGCCGAAATACTAAAAAAAAGAGCATGACTTTGTAGTTAACAAAAAATAAATGAAATATCATTATCACTAGAAAAGCAAATATTTAGTTTGTTGAAATTGAAAAACAAAACGAAGAATCTTTATAATTCTAAACCAAACATGTTTCATATGACAATGGAAGAATGGCAAGCGGAGACGAATGTATTCTTTTATTTTAAAACACAAGATTAATTTTTTTTTAAATTTTAATAATATTAATAATTTTTTCAAACAGTTGAACAAGATGGTTGACAAATCAAGAAGTATGTCCTTCCCTTTCCCAGACCTATGCACCGAATTATTTGATGCGACAACCTCGACTGTCGACACCCCTCATCCCACCAAAGTGTTTTACTACACAAGATTTTTAGGTTATTGAGATGGAAGACCCAACACCTCAGACGAATATCCCAACATCACCATCAATATTACCCTCACCTACAAGTTCCTGAAGATTCTTCTGGTTGATCAAAAACACAAAGGAGGAAAATGAAATGCACCCAAGGGCACACTAGGTGATGAGATAAGATAAGTTGATAAGGAGATTGTCAAGGTTGCACAGGTGTTCGCGTAAGCAAATAATCTTCACAAGGAGATTGACGAATGTATGGAAAAGTTGGAAGGCTTGGAGTGGGGAGAATTTCATCCGAAATACACCACTACTCTTATGATATTCATTGAACTTATAGTATCGATATGTTCTAATCCACCAGGAATTACCTCAGAATGACATAGAAGGCTAAAAGACATATTTCCTGGAGCAATAGTACACTAGATAGAACTCTTTTACAGTTGTGCCCGTTGATAAACAAATTCACTATAGTGGAAGAGGAAAATGTGAGTGTTATCAAAATGTAATATGAATGCGCTTAAGAAGACTATCGTTGATCACCTCTATCCAGAGATCCACTGTCGTCCACCCCAGTCACATCCGTTCAGATCCACCATCACTTACCTCCATATATATATCCGTCAAGATCCACTGCCATCCACCTCCTCCATCGGCGGTAGTGGTTCCCAACAAGTATGATGGTGGTTTTCGGCGAGATAGTAGTGCCCGAAGGTGACTGGCAATGGTCGACGATAGCCGGCGGCGGTGGTACTATAGATGGGAAGAGAAGAGAGGAGAAGAGGAGAGAGAGAGAGAATAGTTGGGTGAGGTTCTTAGGGGATTTATTTTACTTTTCTTTTATTTAATAATAAAAATAAAAGAAAATGAGAAAAATCACAAGGACAATATAGTCTTTTCAAGTGCATTTAAATTTTCGAGGGACAAAAAATCCGCTCGATCTTTCTAATTTTGCACTAACCATGCGATAACTTTTTTTTTACTTAAACTGCACTTTTTGATAAAACGTAGGGACAAATTTTGTAATTTACACCAAAATAAAATACATTATTATATATATATATATATTAAAATTCTGAAGACAGTAAACTTGTCCATTTTTTTGTCAATTGTGGTCTCCATACTCATGTTGGTTATTTCTATCGTATTTCTCACTTTTTTATTTTTATTTTCTTCCATCGTTGTTTTTTGTTAAAGCTGCTTCCTGTCAAATGTTTATGGTTTCCACGTGTAATTATCTACATTGGGATGGATAGGTGTTTCTGTTTTCGAACGTATGTCCAGCTCCACCGCCTTTGACTGCTTTGAAACTTTGACATATTCTCGATTCTTCTTCAATTTTTCTAGCCGTACCATCTCGGATAAACATTCACATTTTCTTCCTTCTTCTATCTAAAAAATTGTTCATTCTTCCAAAATCCTTTCATCCTTTCCACTTCCCACCTCTTACCTCCGACCCAACCTTCTCCTCTTTCCTCAACAATTCAATGTATTTCTTTCACTGCCGGTCACTTATAGATTTGGACCGATCGGATAGCACCGATCGGAACTGTGTCTCCAACGACTTATAGCCCTAAACATAGAGGGAAACAGCGACTGCGATGTAGTCCAACTCTGACGGTCGCCAACTTTAATCCCGACTATTCGGAGTGATCCATGGTCGGCGCCTGAACGTTCTTCTTCCACGGATTCCATCATCGCACTAAACAAACTACAGGTTCCAGTCCGATTTCACATTTCACAGTCTCTTTCTGTAAGCCCTACACCCAAAAATGGTCTGTCTTCTCAAAATTAGGGCATTCTTTTTTTTAGTTGTCGTTAGTTTCTTCATAAGAAGGCACCATTTATGTTACTATCGCCTAATTACCATATCTGTTTTCGATTACAGTATGGTCGAAGAAGGAACGCACTTGAACAGAGAAATGGTTGAGATTTTCCCTAACAGTTCCAAATCAGAGGTGATGGAGACAAAATATATTTCACTCGATAACTGCATCTTCTGCCTTCTGCTTCTTCTTTTCCATTTTCTAATTATATTTTGTTTGTTTCTCTCGATTAGAACCAGTAATTGAAGAATCTCCTTTCCAGGTTGCTAAAGAAACATAATACCCCTGACGACAGTTGAAGGACTACGCTTTACGTTTGGTGCTCCTCTTGATGAATCACAGGTAAGTTTCCTCTTTCTACCTCTACATCTTTCTCAACTTATTCATTCTTTCTCTACTAAACACGTTTTGGGTTCTGTAAAAGAAATCAAAAGTTTTTTTTAATACATATCAGAATATTCAACGTATTTTAGATGGCGCCTGACGGACTGCAGTGTGTATTTTAGAAGTAAGTATTTCATCTTTTGCACTCACAGCCACACGCCACTTGAAGCTTGGTCACCTGAGATGTCAACAAAGCATCGACGTCTTTGTTGATGAGGTTGAAGAGATGTTCTTTCTTCTGAGGATACTTCCAAACCATTAAAGGTACGATTTTGTTTCCTTACAATTGAATTGTTTGGAGTTTGTTGATGGTTCTATTATTGAAAGAATTTCTTATTACATGGAATTGTATTTCGTTTTGCATGCTAGGTGTTCGATGAAATGTCTGGTCTAAAGAATATTGTAAATGAAGTTTTTCTTAAATGTGTAGAGAGAAGGGATTGTTGCATGTTAATTGTTTTGTAACCTATGTTCAATTACGCCACAAGACCTAACACAAGGTCTGTGTTATGACAATGGTGAGAAGATTTTTTCTGTCTGTAGAACCAACAAATTAGATGTCAGTGCAGGTGGGCTTTTTTTTTTTTATTTTTTTATTTTTTTATTTTTTATTTTTTACAAACTATTATTTGGGAATCCTTTAGTTATAAAGATGTAAATGAATCTCAACAGCCTCTTACTTTACACAGCTTAATCAATATTATTTATGAGTTCTTTTGAGATATAATTTAATTGTTATATGATGATTATAGATTGAAGATTTCCACAAACATCATCAATCCATTTACAACCGTTGTGATCCAAAGAAGAGCTGAAGGCAAAAAGTTCATTCAAAGAAAGATAGAGACTCTTCTTTCTCATTTAGTAACAGGACACTGTGTAGGCTTCTGCCATCAGATAAGTTAATTTTAAACCCAAGTTAAAGATGATTACATTTTTTTGTTTTAAACATCATTTGTATTCTGTCGTTTTCTTTTTTTTGGTAGGCAAAAATTGGAATGTTGTAGAGGCTTATTTTATGGATTGTTGCTTCAACTAAAGAAATAAGAAAAAAGGAAAAATGGATATCATCTTTTTTTTCTTAAGACAGGCAAAGCTTCATGCACCATCTCTCACTGAAGGTAGCATGTTCCAAATTTTTTGTTAATTTTAAATTACAGATATAAAAAGAGGACATGTCTGCTTCTTGACTCATTGGGTGGAAGGACCAAAACATGTATCATTTCCAATGTTATCACCTGTTGTACAGTCTTGAAAAGACATTGAGCACAGTAGATGGTGACCAATAAATAATAAACGATGTCTAATGTAGTAAAATTGCCACTAACAAAAAGACTCTATACAAATCTTTTTCATATATGCCCAAAAACTATGATTATTTTTTGGAATTAATATCAAAATACAATGGTTTTCATGATATTAATCATTGTAGAATTTGTTCATAGGTGATTATATAAAAAGGAAATGGAAATGCATACGTCACCACAACTACAAGAAGTAGCATCAAGAGCACAGCTGTTGCGATTTGTGGGTTTTTCCGAATTTGGAACATGTGTAAATTGATAAAAAAAAAATTGTTTAATTTTAATTTTCATTTTGAATTGAATCCATGAAGAACAAGGGTTTTTTTGGTAGATTCTAAAATTTTTGTGCTTCTGTAAGTGGGATATACTGCTTCTACTGAAGTCGCTCTCAGTTATCGAGTTCAGTAGAATCAGAGGTGAAATTCTAATTTTGTTTATTGGTTAATTTTACATGTCTCATAGGCTGGTCCAGCCACAATTGCAGACGCCATGATCCGAGGTCTCCCCATCATTCTAAACGATTACATTGCTGACCAGGTAATTTTCTTATTAAAGTTGATTTTAGAATGCAAGGGTAAAAATGTCATTTTTGTCTCAACACCTTAGAAATCTGATATTGTGCAGGAAGTTGGAAATGTACCCTATGTAGTGGAAAATGGATATGGGAAATTTTGAAAGTCACCAAAAGAGTGGTGAATGGTTTGGTCCTAAAGCACATGAACTCAAGACTATGATAGGGCTTGATCTGAATTTAAACTATCACAGATCAGTCACAAACATTGAATATTAAAACACAACATAAATTCAATCTGGGCACATATCTGTTTCTTTCTGAGAATTTTTTTAAGAAGACTCAAAAAGGATAGAAGAACAAGAGGATAACATGAGCAATGGTACACAAAAATTAGCCGGAAAAAGAAATTTATAGATAAAAGCAAATGAAAAGTCAACATACCCACAGTGTGTAAATGAGGCTAATTTTCGGTGTCGTTTTCGTGTTATGCTCTGATTTTTTCTATGTTTTCAAATGATTCATTATTAAATCATTATACTTAAATTCTGAATATGTGTTTTTGTTTGTCTGTGTAGCTTTAAGAATCCAACATATGTGTTTTAAAAAGAGAATAGATCTCAGTTACTTCTACTTTATTTCATTTTTAGGCATCATACTTTCATAGTCAACCAACTATAGCATCCTACTTCCATCACGAATGACTGATAAACGATAACACCATCTTTTACATAATGTCTCCAGTCGGTTTTCTTTGATATTAGCGGCGAATCCGACCCCCGCAAAGCGGGGGTTCCTATCTAGTTGCTATTATGCATCTTAAAATGAATATGTTGTTATAATTTATTAAAATGTTTTAAAAAATAAATAAATAAAAATACATCTTGTATTCATGTATATTTTTTAATATGATGGTTGTAGGAATTTCTTTTTGTCGAATGGCGATAAAGTTGTCGGCTAAAATAAAATAATTCACCTAAAGGTTCTTAATTTGGTATAATAATTTTTTTCATAATTTAGTATATTATTTTAGTTTTGGCTGAAAATAAAAATAATGTTTATTAACTAATGTATATACTAAAAGATAAAGGGTTGGCTGGGGTTATTAGGGTATTTATTTTATTTTATTTTTTAATAAAAACATAAAAAAAAATGGGAAAAATCATAATGCCAAAATAGTCTTTTCAAGTGCATTTAAATTTTCGATGGACAAAAAATTTGTATGATATTTTTAATTTTGGATTAATCATACCATAACTTTTTTTTAGGGGTGGCAAATCGTGCTATCGTTTCGTGTTTCTGTCACGACACGACACGACAATTCTTTTTGTAACACGAACACGACTCAACACGATGTCCTGTTTTTTTTAACTAACACGAAAACGAACGAATTAAAAAACGACAAACACGACACAACACGACAAATATAACATATACTAAAAACTAGTTTATTTAATGAATACTTTATCAAATATAACACGATAAACACGACAAACACGATAAAAAACTGCTAAATCGTGTCAATTTCGTGTCGAATTTTGAACACGACACGACACGAAATCGTGTTTTTTACAACTAACACGAACACGACACGAACACGAATTCAAAGTTTAGTTTTCGTATCGTGTATTTTTGTCTTGTCGTCTCATAAATTGACATCCCTATTTTTTTTTTATTCAAAGTGCACTTTTTGATAAAATATAGGGACCAATTTTATAATTTACTACAAAATAAAATACATTCCTGTTATGCAATATTAAAATGAATATGTTGTTATAATGTATTAAAATGTAAATATCTTGTATTCATTATATTGTTTAATAAGATGTATTCTTTGTTGTAGGAATTTCTTTATGTCGAATGGCGATAAAGTTGTCAGCTTAAAATCAAAATAATTCACCTAAAGGTTCTTAATTTGCTATAATAAATTTTTTATAGTTTAGAATTTTATTTTAGTTTGGCTTAAAATCAAAATAATGTTTATTAACTAATATGTACTTACTTTACACAAACCGTTGACTCTAATATTTTAGTGGACGAAAATGACAAGAGGGCAAGAGGTGGGCGGCTGCTTTTAAATGTTGGAACTATTATAATTTAGATTTAGATGGGCACAAAAGATTGATTTAAAAAACTTTCATTGAACTACTATTTCTGGTGCATGTTGATATAGTTTCTAATGAATATTATTATTATTAACAATACCATTAAAGGTATTATCATAATTATTATTTAAACAACAATCTAATCTAATCTGTTTCTATTTACACCTAAAATCCACATATATCTCAAATATATCTTAAATGTAATTTAAAATATAATATCATAAATAGAAAACAATCCATCAAGCCAAAAACCTTTTATTATTATTAGTATTATTATAATTATTATTATTATTGTTGTTTTTGTTTAATAGCAAAATTATTATTATTGGTCATTATAATGTTATCATAAATGTCATTGTTATCTATAATTATAATTACAAATATAATTATAATTATCATCATAATAACAATCATAAAAACCATATAACCATAAAAATATATAATGGTTAATAACAATATTAATATTATTATTATTATTGGTCATTATAATGTTATCATAAATGTCATTGTTATCTATAATTATAATTACAAATATAATTATAATTATCATCATAATAACAATCATAAAAACCATATAACCATAAAAATATATAATGGTTAATAACAATATTATTATTATTATTATTATTATTATTATTTGTTTTTATTAAATATGTTATTATTATTTATATTATATTATATTATATTATTATTTTTTAAATAACAATAGTATTTTTATTTATTATTATTTTATTATTATTATTATTATTATTATTATTATTATGTTAAACTATGTGTTATTGTTTTTTTAACTATTTGTTAATTAGTATTGTTCGGCAAAAAATTGTTGTGTTTTTTTTTGCCACGGGTAAACCGACGTGACATATTTTACCGTCATCATTTACGGATGGTAATGTTAAAACACCACACCCTAATTATTTCTGTCATTGATAAAAATAATAAAAATATCACTATTAGCTTATATGTCCATCGTTAAAAATTGTATTATACCCCATACCCTCATGGTTATTAATAATACTATTATTATTATAACCGGCAATCACGACCACAGCACCACTCATACGACTCACAGGAGTATTGATATAATTATTTTATTAATGATATTGACATGTAATGGTAAATATTATAATTATGTACTATGCTTATCTTAATTTAATTTGGGATAAAAATAAGAAACGTTATTACTTTGTTAGTCCTAAAAGTCACGATGCGAACGAGATTCTAATATATTATTATGCCAAAATACAAAAAATCAAATATTAGTTTTTAGAAAAAAAATTTAGGACATGATTGGAAAAGTAACTAATAGTTGGAAGTTTAAAGATGCTACCTAAAAGGTGCTGGTTTGTAGCTAATAGTGAAATGTTTAGCTTTTATTTATACAGAATAGAATAAAAATGTTTATTAGTTTTTATGTGTATAAAATTAATTAAAATTTAAATTTTAAAAGCTTTGAACTAGTTTTCCGAATCGAAACTTTTTCTTTAAAATTATAGATAAACGTTCAAGTTGTCAAACAAAGTTTTTTGTTTGAATTAAAAAAAATAAAAAAAATAAAAATAAATAAATAAATAAATAATCAACTAAAAGATCCAAAAAATTTCAAAAGCTTTGTCTCAAACAAGCCCCAAACCGAATGTACAAATAAAACAATTTAAATGATCAGCTACTCATTAATTTCTACTCAAATCTACTATCATATACTCAATCTTAATTTTGATTTCCAGCTTCAAACCAAAGACAAATTACCCTACAACAATATATAGCTATATTGTAATTCAGATTATTTATCAACATTGCGCATTAATTAGTCAGTTACATACAAATACACAACCAGTATTTTCAAAGTAATCCAAAAATCTTTCAATACTCAATAGTAGGAGTTTTGATTCTTCATCTATAATTTTCCAACCATCAACATCTATTCTTCTACACTTCTTTACCGCAACCATATAATTTCTTTTACTTAAGAGCCAACGCAGATACATCTTAAGGGTATCCATAGACACTCTTGGTTTAGGATCTGTTTTTATATATTATATTGTAAAAACGTTTATGGACACATACTATAGAATATAGATGGACACCTGTGACTTGTGAGCAAGAGCAACACAAAACA